TTCAGAAACTGCACTCCTTTATCCCCAAGACAATCTTCTGAAAGGCATCCAAATGCATCTAAGTTACTTAAAAAAACAGAACTCAATGTATTTATGAAAAGAAGATTCTGACCACATTTTCTTTGGTACCAGCGTAGGAGAATCAGTGAACCAGAGACTCCTAAAAACTCTCCTGGGAGTCATGCTTCCCATCAGACTGCAGAAGAGTGTTTTGTATGTAGATATTTGAAATATTACAACAAACATCAGAAACAGAAAAAGATTTATTAGAAATATTACACAGATTTTTGCATCATACATTTTAATAATGTTAATATTTAAATATTAGCATGTCCAAATCTGGCAATGCCTAGTATATACATTCTAATGTGCTCTTTGTATAAATTAGATTACGATGTAACATCTGTACCCAATGGAGAAAGCTAAAAGTACTTGACTGTTAGAGGTGATTATCCCATATGACAAAGTCAAGCCTGGACCAACAATCAATAAAAACATTGTGCCCAGCACTGCCCAGTGGAACTTGGCACGCATGCGAGTCAAAAATGTAGAGACCGTCAGTTGAGAAAAATGTTAATTGCAGTTCAGTTATAAGCTTGATTCTACACCCTATGGGTGAGTGAGTCTAAATGGCACTGGAGTTGGTAAAAACCAACATAGTGTAGCATAGTAGAAGTTATTGCTGGGTTTAAAAATGTCTTAATGCTCAGTGCCCTGAGTCTTTTTAGGCAAAAGCCCTCTTTTGACAGGAAAATGCATAATCTCATCCCATACAGACTCTGCCTTTTATCAGATACACAAGGCACAGCTTTGCAAACAGCTGGCCGCGTCAGATACTTCCCACTGGAAGACCCGGTGCCATAAGCACAGAAAGATGAGGGAGGTAAACACAAACTAATGAGCCAACACTCATATTCTCATTGCCAAGGAAGTCAGCAAAGCAAAAAGGCAAATTTTGAAGAGTTCCAGGTCAGGAACCAACCAGGGAAGAACCATTCTGCCAGCGTGCACTTCTTTGGTTTGGGCAGAGAACTTGCACATAACTGGTTGCGCATACAACGCAAGAAAAAGCATAGAGAAAACCTGTAAAAACCAACTTCGAATTACAAAAAAGAAAACCTGCCAAAACTTGGAGAATGTGTCTCAGAGAGAGGAAACTGGAGAACGTGCATAAGTCAAAAATCACTCTGCTCGGTATGGCTGCCCTGCTGCAGCACAGGAAGAAGCGGGAAATCTTTGTCCCCTTTGCATTTCCGTGACTGTCACAGGCACAGGGAGGGGAACCTGGCAAAGGCAGCAAGCCCTGTGCTCTCTTCTCTCCTCATCTTCTGAGATCCAGCCCAGGCTGCACTCTTAGGAGAAATGTCACTCAAGATGACAGTCAGAGAAGAGATCTCAAGGGATGTCCTTTGCTGTCCACAAAGGCCCAGGTTCGTATGTCCTATATATGCCCCTCTCCTCCCACACTGGACTTTCACTCCATTCAGTAGCTTCATTGCGTACTTTCAGAAACAGCTCATCAGCCTTTCTAGAAGACCTTCTTAGAGGGCTGACTCTGGGCTCTCTTCTCAACGCCTCTGTACCTTCCCAAGCCATGAAACAATTTGTACCTTCTATGACACACCAGAAATCCTGGGAGTCAGACTGCATACTTTTCACACTTTAATCTTCTTCCCTCTCTAACAGCTATAGTACAAGTCACACGACGCAATATCCCTCCATGGAACTTCACTGAAATCCCCATCCTAGCCATTCTTCTCACATGCTCATCCAAAATCAGCTGTTTGGTTTCTTGTAGTCTGCCAGACTACCCAAGTACACACATACAAGCATGTGCAGGTATGTTTAAGAGTGACTGTATATTTAGGGAGCATATGGTGACTTGGTGAAGAGATTTCATCTGCCTGCATCAGGGAAAGATCCATTAGTCCTAAGAGGCGAAGGCAGAAAGGATTTAGGCAGTTTAGGCAAACTGTTACTGATACAACACCCATGTCATATCATCCCATGTTCCATTTTAGCACATTTTCAGAGGATTCTCAGAACTTCTATGAAGACTATCCCTATACCCTCTAGCTTAACTTGATTAACAAACTCTAATTTTAAAGGCAGCTAAAACTTTAATTTTGCAGTTCAAATTTGAGATGTCTTACAAGGACCTGGAGATTTTCTGAAAATTAGGCTGATCTGCAGCATCTTGTGTGGGACAAATTTAAATTCATATTCAAATTTTAAGGCAGCACGAAAAAACAACAGTGATTTCTGAAAATCCAGGTCTAGAAATGTAACTGTGCAACGTTCAAAAGGAAGAAAAAATACACAATATCCTCACAGTTAAGTGAGCAAATAAACAATATTCTTAATCTCAAAAAATAATCTGGAAAAGCATCGCTCAATCTCAAAGTATCAGCATTTCAAAATGCGATGTTTTCCAGGTTTGAGGGCTGAAAAATAACACTGAGCAAATGGTGAAACTGAGTATCCCCTTCCCTACTGACAGACAGCTCCTTGTTCTAACTCCTAGATAGGTAAAATTTTTTTAAGAATATACCATTAGAATTGGGTAGAATTAGTGTTTGGTCTATGCTACTGAGGGGCATGGGAGAATAAGTGGCAAGGAGATGACAGAAACATTGCTTTGCAAAAATAATTTGGAAAAAAAAGGCTGCTAGATCAAACAGAACGGCTTGTAAGGTTAGACCAAGTCTTGGAGAAACAGATTAGAAGAAATGTCAGAACAGTGCTTGAAGCAAATGATCCCGACACATTAGAAAACATATGTATTTAGTGTACATCTGACAGTCACATGGAACACACGCTTGCAGTGACCAGAGGGTTAAGATTATCTTTCTTTTTTAGATCAAGTGGAGCCTTCTGACTTTGAAATGTTTACCAGACGGTGGGAATTAAAACAGTTTTTCTCATCCCTGCAAGTGCCCGATCCAAAGCCCACTGAGGAATATGGAATTTTCTGTGCTGACTTCACTACACTTTGAACTACAGCCCGTTGGAGAGAACTGGGATCTCTGCCAGTGGATGTTCCTCAAGGGAGATGAGCCTGCTGCAGCCACAAGGCAACGGAGCTCTGCAGCATGACCGCCCTCCTAAATGAACTCCGCTTAGCAGCTATTTTTCTCTTCCATCTTATCACATAACAGGAGACGTGTATCTGAGAACACTTAGAGCAACTCATCCTATGTTCTCTAGGGATGGCAAAGTGTATGCTGAAAAATACTGGAGAGTTAATTCAATCTAGAAAGCACTCTTTTGCACAGAAATAACCTGGCCAGCATTTAAAACTGCTTTCTCACAGTATACGTTGACACACAGAGTGCCAGGGCACTGTAAGTGCGTGCCACTATCCTTTTTTATCACACAAGACACTCAAAAGATTGGAATCAGACTTTCCTGGGGGCGACAGATTAGAATAAGCGTCAGACTAAAACTAAGAGCAAGTGATGCTTTTCTCCTCCTACGAAATAGGCATACGCTGCATTCCTCCAACTTCCTTTCTGTTCAATACATTCACTGACCTTGGCCACGGTCAGCTATCCCTTAATCCTGTATTTAATAGGTTGTTTACTAATTAAATAGTGTTAAAACAAACAGACAACAAAGCACTGTGGCGAAGCCAGAGGCTGAGATCAGCCACCTGCAAAACCCCAGAAAACCTGAAACCAAGTTTCTTCTGTGAAACTGCTTGTTTCTGTTTCATGAGCTTTTTTTTTTAGGCATTAAGAGCAGTGAGCACGCGCTATTATTTTTTGTAAGAGAGAAATGATCCCTAGCTCCCTATGATTAACATTCACAAAGCATCAAGTCTGGCCACAGGGTTAAACATGCTAACTAAACAACTTTCTTCCACCAGCACAATCTAAAGCAGCTAGGCAGCCTTCTATGAGGTCCCGTACAAAGCATGCTTGCCAACACCTGCTCCTAGAACAAACTAAGCAGCCTGTTTGATCCCACTATCCTTGGAGACAAACAGAAAATTTAACTTCATGAGGTGAAATAAGAGAAATGGTATAATGGAAATTAAACAGTATCTTTCAGACATTTTACTAACAGTATTATTGAGCTGGAAAGCTATTCTCTGGCGCCTTAGAGATTTCCATGACACAGAGAGGGGCTCCAGTTACATTCTTTGTAACTTGTGAAGTTGCAAGTTCCATTGGTACTAATAAATTACTGTGCTCCTTTACAGGGTAACATCACTTCCAAGTGTGTAACAGTGCCCAGACTGGCAGGGCACAGGCTGTCTCCAGATTCATGCCTCTACAGAGCCATTACATATCTGTGCTGATTATACAGGATCAACATAGAAGAAAGAAGTTACTCCACCCAATCCACAAAAATATCAACTACTGAGATGTCACTGTATTGCTTAGAGAGTCATCACCTGATTACTGGCACCTTGCAAACTAAAGCTGGTAGATTGCATTTGCAATATTCCTATGATAACTGTGCCTGCACAGTCAGCTGGGAAACCGAGCTCTGGCTTCCCGTAGTAATCAAGTAATGACATTGTAGTAATAAAGCTATTTTTCCTCAAAGAGATTACCTCAGTTCGATCTGAAATGAAGTCCCGGCACCCAACAGGATCTTGCAGAGTCCTTTCACTAACAGGTGATGGAACAGAGCGTGGTTTCTGAGTTACAAATGACCCTGTTATTATACTGCTGGTTGAACTATGACAAGCAAACTAGTATACTTAATGGGTCAGATGCATGAGAATAACTCACGTTAAGGTTCTACAGGCTTATGTGCATCTGTTAAGTTTTATAAAATATATGGAGGCAAGAAAACAACATGTATTTGGGATGAGTTAAGCATGTTTTGGCAAGAAGAGCATTTTTGTGAGCTTTTGTATTAATACTAATCTCCCAGCCTCCCTTGAGTGCCAGCATAGTCCACATTGATTTGGAACTTCATTTTGTAGCAGGTCTCCTGTTGGTGGAGTCTGGTTTGAGGCAAACATTGTCTAGCACAAGGGATCCTCTTCAGAAATATCCCATGTGTGTTCAAAAATGCTTTGCAATTTCCATGTGGGAATAAAAGTACAGATTAATTTGGTTTGTATAGATGGACAATGGATATTTATTTGGTTGCAGTCCCAGATGTAATCAAAATTATGGAAGAGCTTTCTTTCAAACTAAGAGCTTACGTTGGTTGTGGAAGAGGAGCAAGCAGATTTTTAAAGTGATCAAGTGCATCTGTAGCATTCTTTGTTCTCTTCCCCACTTCTGTCCACCTCTTGCTCTGCATCTCAGGTCTCAAAGTACTTGTAGATCTGGGCGACGTACTGCATCACACTCTGCCAGTCTGGCCGGTCCGTGTACATCATCTCACTGAGCTCCTGCACAGGACAGACACATTGTCAAAACTCAGTCAAGCACTGATGCTGGGAACATCACTGGGTCCTCTAGTAGCTGTGGCTATTGAACACTACTTCTGCGTCCATTCCAGAGCTCCTTAAAGCCATATGCAGTATAAAAGTCCAGGGGAATGATCTACTGGCCTAGTGCAATTGTGAAACTTGTTAACAAACTAGTTAAACAGCCATGTGCATTTTACATTCTGAAAAGATTTCTTCCATCTGCAGAGATCAATTCTCTATATAACCTCATTTAAATTGCTGCTGCTTTGCATATCTCTGGTTCTGTACTTAGCTCATGAACCCCATAGTATTTTTTCCTTCATATTAAACTGATCTCTTCCTAGTCATCATATTGTTGATTTTAGAAAAGGCTTTTTAAACAGTTTAATGAACAAATGATCCTTCTGTTTCTTAAAACACTAAAACGAAAAGAAAGAAAATGGTCTAACATGCAAGTCTGCCCATGAAAATAGGAATTATCTGGAATCAGCTTCCAAGAGGAGCACATAATCAATAGTTTCATTTCAATACTAGATGACCTCCAGAAGCTCCTTCAAATTATATTAATTCTCTGATTCGACAAATTCTTTCTGGAAGTTCTCCTAATGCTATGAACTTTCAGAGACGGTGGTGCAGCCTTCCCTAGCACTATGTGAACATTTTCAGTGCAAGCTGACTGACTGGCCACATGGCAACAAAGGCTTTGGAACGGTTTATGCAGCAAATCTTCCCTTGCTAAAAGAAGGTCACTCACCAGGCTGGGTTTGATGCCTACACTTTCAGCAGCTTGAAATGCTAACAGCAGATTTCTCTTCTGTAAAAATACAACAAAAGTTCAAAAGGATTATCATCAAAACATGATTCCTGAACCCTACCTTGCATCTGGTTAATACATTTAAATGAGCAGGTACATTTGAAAACTGAAAAACACTAGATTCAGTACTTTCACATAAATACTTTTTTGTATTAATAAGGTACACTCACAAAGAAGTTCTTCGTCTTTGAATAGTTCATCTACATTTGCCCAAGCTACAGCCCTCTGTTTTTGACAAATAGGTTCTTATGAAACTGATTAGAACCGGGCAAAAAAATCCCAGCACTGAGGTTCTGTCTTTATTATGACTGAAAGGTTTCTGAAGAGGTATTAACTAATATAAGCCCTTCCTGTATATAGTATAGTTCTTATTGTAATAGATACTAGCTGTCTGAAGTAAACCCAGTAAAACCATGGTCCCTCCCCTTTGTGAGGATCTTAATAAACATATTTGGAATGTGCTGACATGGTCTGACTTCTAGATACATTGCTGTCCAAGTAGTTCAATGAATGATCTGTCTGCCTACTGATACAGCACTTTTAATATGTGCAGCTAACTCAGGAGTCCAGAAATGCTGTAGCCTTTCAAAGGGGATGCTGTCTTCATGTTTATCCACTGCACTCACCGGATTCAGGCAACTTGTCACTAACTCTTTATCCAGTAGTCCCTGCATTTCTCTCTGGGAGTTCACTGTTGGTTTCCTTCCCCTTTTCAACAAGCCTGTTTGCTTTCTAAGTTCTCAACTGACACTCGTCTCTTACTGTTGCTCCCACCTAATTATTTTGTATCAATCAAGATCTTGCAACGCTGTGTCTCCACCACATATCCATCAAAATGGATAATGTTTCACTGCAAATTCTGCAAATGGTATAGGAGCAGGTACAACAAAACTTACTTTATCCTGACTGTTGAGCTCCTGGTAAGGAATATGTGCAGGCAAATACGTGTGCAGGAGAGCGCAGAAGGCCAGCCCATCACTCCAGCTGCTGCTGAAGTTGGTAATATCAATATTCTGTAAGACAAAACACAAACCAACCCTGAACAGTGCTACACAACAAAAAAATCTCTAAACAACAGTTTTATGCAGTCATGAAACAAAAACTCAAGAGTATTAAAGGAACATAGGTTTACATTTTCCATTCTCCCCCTCTTTTTCATGTCAAGTAGAAAGATACAAGGTAGGATGGCAAGTTTCAAAGTCCTGTATGGATTATTAAGGAGCTAAATGTTTTTCACATGGCACCCCAAACAAAGAGACTCTCTCCAATGCTTTCTAGATGGTGAGAAACACCATGTGCAGCACATGCTGCAGCTGCAATTTTCCTGTGCTGGCAAAAGGAAGGACCTTATCTGGTCCCTTTCAGTTACAGAATGGCAGAAATATGATTTCTCCAGCACCTACAACAGAAGTAATTGATATTTTAAAATGGTTTTTCATAACTGATTTCATAGTTCCTTGTCTCAGAAAGTCTAACAGAGGGATAGATTTGCAGAGCAATGAGACAGTGTAATCAGTGTATTTGACCACTGTTATTTTTCTAGTATTACACAGCAGATACATGCTTTAATGAGAATGCGCCATTAACAATTACCGACTTCATTCAGCCCCTGATCAAAGTGCTATCAAAGTGATGAAATACTAACATATTCCTCAAGCCCTAAATAAAGAATGTGTTTACTTGTATGTGAGGGGGATGCTCGAACTTGGCAACAGCAGCAGCTGAATGGGCAGCTTTCCAAGAGCTGGGCAGATGTGCCCCGTTCGCAGCCTGCATGAATGTTTTCTGCATTCTCATATTCTTTATCAAGGCAGCATCTTTCACCTGCACATCACAGAGCACTTAACAAAAGGCAGATAAAGACTGGGAAGTCTGAGATATAGAATTTAATCACCTACCCTAATTCACAAAATGAGCCATAAGTAGTTGAGGAGACAACGTCTCCTGATGCTTGCTCTCCAACTACCGTAGTCACTGACAAATAAATGTGGCTGTATCACTGGTAACAAGTACAACACAAGACCCTTACGGAACTGAAACAAACAGAAACCTTTAAATCTTGTCTTCACACATTTCCTAACACAACAAGGCTGAGTGTGCTTGTGGAAGCCGTGTTTCGTGGCGCACGGATATATTAATAAACACCCAACTGAAAGCCCTAGCTGAGCTAGAAAACTCTGACTTGTGTGTAGCAACACTCCCACCACTGCCAGCTCCAGCAGGAGGACAGTGAAAAGGGAATATTTTGAAAAAAAAAGTCTAATATGGTTGCGAGTTTAAACGGTCAGAAAACATCTTCCCTTGCTGCTAGTCAGTGGGATTTTTCTTTACGAGTCACATAGCTTATTACAAGGGTGCACTCAGGTGCACAGAGGAAACCCAGTTTCCCTTCTCATGACAGCTGAACTCCAGAATGTACGATGTTCAACAGGTGGGTTAGAGTGATTACAGAAACCGATGTTTTAAAATCAGCCCGCCTGTAAACTTAACTCCTTTAAAATTTAAAGATTACTGGGGGTACAGAGTGCACTCGGGGTTCTTCACAGGGACTCTCTTGCAAGGCACAGCTGTAGTTAAACATATGCTTATGGCCAAGTTCTGATCCTGTGAACAAGGTGACCTTTCTAATGCTCTTGTTTGCACTGACTGGCCATACTAGAAAACTACGGAATTCTCACGGCTAAGTTTTGCTGCTGTAGTAGCAGCTGTAGTTCCAAATACCACCTAAAAACAAAACGTTGAACTGATACTGCTTAGAAAAGTAACAGCTGCTGGAGCATGGAAGACTACAGGACATGGTGGTACCGCACCATCCCTCACACTACGGCAGGTCTGGAGCTACCCTCAAATCATTCTCAGCAGCCACATCTTCCTGTGCGCTGAACTTCAACTTGGACTCTCTGCCCCTTCATTTTCTTTATTTAGCTATTTTCCGGTTTCTTTCAAGATTCCCCGAAAGACAGAGCTTTTACTGCATCTCTCATACAAAAGCTAATGCAGACGTCCTAAAACCAGACAGGAAGCATTTCAGCATATGCTCTTCACTTACGATGCCTCACTGATTAGTTGTCCAACCTGGACTTTGTCCAGTCAGACAGGATTTCAGATTAGTAATAAATGTCCATAACTAAACATGACTCAAATTGAAGCAGTACAGAATATTTCAGGTTAAAATACTGTGGCTGTAGTAAGTCTCCAGATCTAATGGGCTCAGAAAGCAGGCCATCAGCAGCAGACATCACCGCGCTGCACCAGCCACCACAGTGTAGTTTGCTCTATTAACATCCGTCAATGGAGATAAAAGAAAAGTGACATAGTGGCTGAATCCCATCACAAGAAAAAATATACTTTGGTCCGAAAGCTGTCTTGGCTTTGCCTAATCCATAAAGTCGCACCATGGCAGTCCAACTCTGTGTTATGGAACTGGCTGAAGCTAGGTTACTCTTTCTTGACTTTTCAGACAAAAAAGTTAGTTACTATTTATCAATATGCAGTTAGTGGGAAAGGACCGACTGCCAAATTACAAAAGTGTTTTTACTGAGGCCAATATATTTTATCAGCAAATAGCCTATCACCAAATGTCAATATTCTCATTTTATATTGTACGATAGAAATGGAAAATGGAGGTTGTTCCCCCCACCTCTGTCAAAGGCCACAGAAACAGGAATAAACAAAGCCTTAGTTAAGCAACAGGACTAGACAAAAAGGCAAGTCATGTTTGTGTAGGAACATTATATCCTATGCTCGTTTTCATGATGCTATTATGAGACACACATGAGATATTGTAGGAAGGAACAGTTTTGTATTTCACCAGCCCAGCATCAGTTTGATAATTTTACTTGTCATTGTAGTTTTAACTGTGCCTAAAACTCTTCTCCTCCTCCCACCTAACATATCTAGAGAGCAGAAGTGCTAATGTCTACAGTAAAATCAGAACTAGGTTCAAAAATCCTCACATCTCTAACAGCATTGTCCAGCCAGTCATCTTCAGTAATTCTTGGATCTAAGTCTTACAAAGAAGGAAAAGTTCAAGGATGGGGTTCTGCTGACAATATTTAAACCACAGATGAAATCTACTGCAAAGTGATATGTCATGATCAACAGAGAAAACAAACTCAAATCTGAATTTTTGTCCTAAATGCAAACCCAGAATGAATGTTTGAAGGTTCAGCTCAAATGTTCAGTTAACAGTACGACACCAAACACTTAGACATACTCCAAATCACTTAGTTGCCATTTTCACATCCAACAAGCATCAGTGAATTGTGTTTTTTTTCCTCTAAACAAATGCATTTCCATGTCATACATGGTATAACTCCCTCTCTGGCATTTCATCTTGAATTCTGTGTTAACTACTTTTCAATTTGGGATATAAGGACATTGCTACACTGCAGCTTTACTTGTAATACCTCCCCACTACACCACACCAAGAGGAATTAAGTCAAAATACTGGCACACTGATTTCTCAGAAGATCTGTGGCTTCACTGAAGCCAGGAAAAGAAAACAAAAAAGGAAAACAATTTAGGGAATGAACACCTTGGAAACTATTCACTTCTGTTGATTATTTTGGCAGTGGAACCTGTCTCAGTGTTTCTGCCACACCTCTCTATGCCTCAACACACAGTCCATGAACATGTGGGAGCTATTTGTGTACATGCTGGTTGATAACGTACACTTCCAAACTGCAGGATGGAGAGTTTGGCGATTTCTCTGTCTCCCAGTGTGCTTACAGCAGAATCCCCACCCCAAGCTCTGAAAAACTGCATGTGGCTTCTCATGAGACCTGGAAGTTAACCTATATAGGATGGCACCTTTTGGGGGAAAGACGCACCATCAAGAGTGTACACAGAATGAATGTAGGGAGAAATCTGAAAATGGCATAGGGACTGCAGATCAAACTGAGTCGTAGTGCTCATCAGGCAGTGTGAAAAATTTGCCATCTTACGGTCACAGTATGTCTCATGGTCACTAATACCCCTATGCCTATCTTTAGCATGTCATCAGTAGATCCACACTGCCAAAGGCACCTGCACCAGAGATTAACCCCTGGTCCAGGGGTGCCCAGTAGCGCCTGCAACGCTCGGGGTTACGAGCTCCCTTTGGAGCAGACATACCACAACCGTGTTAGGCAGCGCTTGAGCTGGGTCTCCCATGGTGCTGCTAAGAAAACACCTGGGGAGGTGGGGGTGGTATAGTTGAAAATCTTTAAAGAACGTGGAAGTCAGGCCAGAAGCAGGGGCGGGGGGGTCATAGTATGATGACGTAACCATCTTTACATACCCTGTGTAGAGTGGCAAAAAGCAGTGTAGGAAGATGTGAGGGTACAAAGTTTGCTGGGATAGTGGTAGAATACTGTGTAGAGCATAGAGGTGTCCAGACTAAACTATTTCCAGTGTACTTCGCAGGCTTCTTGTCAATGAAAATAGCTCATTCATTTCAAATGAAGACTCATGAGTCAACTACTATACATGCACTGGGAATATTAAGAGACTGGGATGGAAGCACACCAGGGAGCGCAGTTATCTGAAGGTACTTTGGTACCTTCAGTATGGTTCATTTCCATGAACATTAAAGCACCTCGTATTAAGTAAAAAAAAAAAATTATAAAATACATTTGCTCTCTGAGTAACATTGCCTGGATAATCTATGACATTAGTGGCAGGCCAAGTCTAAAAGATACCGAACACATGCAAGTCATTAACCTCAGCCCCCCACCCCAGGAACAGGACCTTTGCTTGCAGATAACAGAGCACTATGAGAGCCACGGTAAAGACACACAGGGAAATCTGTGATCTGTTCTCACTAAAAACATTTTCTTGTTTATCTGAGGAAAAAACAACCACCCTATTAGATTTCACTAGATCTTTAACTCCAAGTCTTCAGTAAAAAGCAACAATGACATCATACGCTCTTCACTACAGCCTGAGTATGTCAAAATACTGACACAAGATATTCCTACGCAGATGTTACTGCGCCCACAGCAATGGCTCTCTGACTCATAATTTTCTCTGT